CTGACAAACCTAAGAGGGAAGGGGGTGTGGGGCAAGAAGAGGAAAATCAAAGAACATATATGCATAACCATTGAACCCAGACAACAGTGTGATGTAGGCAGACAACAGTGTGGTGTAGGCAGAGGGGACAGGAGTGGGGAGGAGGGTGTGAACAGGGCAGGTGGGGGAGAGGGGGAAGGACATCTGTAATGCTTTCAACAATAAAGATAAAATTAAAATTTAAAAATAAATAAACTTCCTGGAAACAAATAAAAATGAATACACAACGACCCCAAATCTCTGGGATACAGTAAAAGCAGTCCTGAGTGGTAAATTCACAGCATTACAGGCCTTCCTCAGTAAAAAAGATAAAGCTCAAATAAACAATCTAACCTTATAAATAAAAGAATTAGAAAGAGAATAACAAGAAAGGCCCAGAGCAAGTAGAAGGAAGGAAATAATAAGCATCAGAGTGAAAGTACTTGACATAGACACTAAAAAAAAAAAAAAAAAAAAAAGCAATAGTTTCTTTTTTTTTTTTTAATCCTCAATTGAGGACATTTTTGCATTTATATTCAGATAGAGTGGGAGGGAGAGAGGGAGGAAGAGAGAGAGAGAAAAACATCGACATAAGAGAGACACATTGACTAGTTGCCACCCACATGACCCCAACCAGGGCCGAGGACAAATGGCAACCGAGATACATGCCCTTAGCAGGAACTGAACCCGGGACTCTCTGGTCCTCAGGCCAACACTCTAACTGCTGAGCCAAACTGGCCAGGGCTATATTTTTGAGAGTTTATTATTGGTGTATAAAAATGCCATGGATGCCCTACGTATAATATCAGGTCTTCTGTGAATAATGATTTACTTCCTACTTTCTAATTTGGATGCCTTTTCTTTTTTGTCTGATTACTGTGGCTAGGACTTCCAGTACTATGTTGGATAAGAGTAGCAGAAGTAGATGTCCCTGACTTGTTTTTTATTTTAAGGAAAATTCTTTTAGGTTTTGTCTATTGGGTATGTTGTTGGCTGTAGGTTTCTTATATACAGCAAAGATAAACAAGTTTAGTGAAACTTTAGCCAAACTTATAAAGAAAAAAAGAGGACCCAAACAAATAAAATCAGACATGAAAGAGGCAAAGTGACAATTGACATCAAAGAAATACAAAGGACTGTAGGAAAATATTATGAACAACTATATGCCAACAAACTGGACAACCTGGGTGAAATGGAGAAATTCCTAAAAAAACACAATCTTCCAAAACTCAATCAGGAAGAATTAGAAAACCTGAATAGGCCAATAAAAATTAATGAAATTGAAGCAGTAATCAAAAAACTCCCAGTAAGCCCTAGCTGGTCTGGCTCAGCAGTTAGAGCAATAGCCCAAAGACCAAAGAGTTCAGGTTTGATTCCTGGTCAAGCGAATGTACCTGGGTTGCAGGTTCGATCCCTGGCCCCAGTTGCAGGTTCAATCCCTGGCCCCAGTTGGGATTGTGCAGGAGGCAACCAATTGACATCAATGGTGTTCTCTCTCTCTCTCCCCTCCCTCTCCCTCTCCCTTTCCCTCTCTCCCTCTCTCCCCCCACCCCTCCTTCTCTCTCTTCCTCCCTTCTTTCCTTACACTCTATCTACAAAAATCAATGGGAAAAATATTCTCAGGTGAAGATTAACCAAAAAATAAAAAACTCCCAGCAAACAAAAGTCCTGGACTGGAGATTTTCACAGGCATGTTTTACCAAACAGTCAAAGAAGAACTTACACTCATCCTCCTGAAACTATTCCAAAAAATTCAAGAAAAGGAAAGAATTCTAAGCTCCTTTTACCTGGCCAGTATTATCCTAATTCCAAAATCATTTGAAAACACTACAAAGAAAATTACAGGCCAATATTCTTGCTAAAATCCTTAAGAAAACATTAGCAAATCAGATCCAGCAATACATTCAAAAGATCATACACCATAACCAAGTAGGATTTAATGTGGAGATGCAAGGATGGTTCAATGTTCACAATCAATAAATGTGATACATCATGTAAACAAAGTGAGTGACAAAAATCACATGATCATATCAACAGATGCAGAAAAAGCATTCAACAAAATCCAGCAACAATTTATGATAAAAACTCTCAGGAAAAAGGAAATGGAGAGATCATACCTCAACATAACAAAGGCCATAAGAGACAAACTTACAGCTAACAACATACTCAACAGGCAAAACCTAAAAGAATTTCCCTTAAAATCAAAAACAAGACAGGGACATCCACTTCCACTACTCTTATCCAGCATAGTACTAGAAGTCCTAGCCACAGTAATCAGACAAAAAGAAAAAAGAAAAGGCATCTAAACTGGAAAGGAGGAAGTAAAACTACATTATTCACAGATGACCTGATACTGTACATAGAAAACCCTAAAGACTCCACCAAAAAATTGCTAGATTTAACAAATGAATTTGGCAACGTGGCAGAAATCTATGGTATTTTTTTAATACACCAGAAATCTATTTTTAACATCCAGAAATCCATGGCATTTTTATACACCAATAATGAACTCTCAAAAATAGAAACTAAAAAAAAAAATCCCATATTTACCATGGCAACAAAAAAATTATATAGTTGGAAATAAACTTAACCAAGGAAGAAAACCATAAGACATTGAAAAGGAAAGAGAAAGCCTTGGCCAGCGTCCCTCAGTGGTTTGTGCGGCCAGTGCACCAGAGGGTCCAGAGTTTGAGTCCCACTAAAGAGCACATCCCTGGGTTGCCAGTTCAATCCCCAGACCTGATTGGGTGCATGAGGGAGGCAACCAGTCGATGTGTCTCTCTCACATGAATCTCTCTCTTCCCCACTTCCACGCTCTCTAAAAACAATGGGAAAAAATATCCTCTGGTGAGGATTAACAACAACAAAAAAAGGAAACAGAGGAAGATAAAATAAGTGGAAGCATATACCATGTTCATGAATTGAATGAATTAACATAACTAAAATGTCCACACTACCCAAACTACAGAATCAATGCAATCCCTATTAAAATACCAACAGCATATTTCACAGATCTAGAACAAGTATTTCAAAAATTTATATGGAACCACAAAAGATCCCAAATAGCCTAAGCAATCTTGAGAAAAAAGAACAAAGTTGGAGGGATCATGATAACAGATGTCAAACTATACTACAATGTATTAAAACAGCTTGGTAATGGTCCAAGAGCAGACATACAGTCCAATGGAACAGAACAAGGACTCCAGAAATAGACCCAACCCAAAATGGTCAATTAATATTTGACAAAGGGGGCAAGAGCATATAATGGAGTAAAGATTAGTCTCTTCAGTAAATGATGTTGAGAAAACTGGACAGGTACATGCAAAAAAATTAAACTAGACCACCAACTTATACCATACACAAGGATAAACTCAAAAAGAGTAAAAGACTTAAATGTAAGTTACAAAACCATAAAAATTCTAAAAGAAAACATAGTTAGCAAAATCTCAGACATCTCATGTAACAGTATTTTTCTGATTCATGGCCTAGGGCAAGAAAAACAAAGGAAAAAATAAACAAAAAGGACTACATAAAGTTAAAAAGCTTCTGCACAGCAAAAGAAACCATGAACAAAATAAAAAGGGAACGCACTGTATGAGAGAACATATTCACCAATGATACAATGGATAAGGGGTTAATTTCCAATATACAAAGAACTCATACAACTCAATACCAGAAAGACAAACAACCCAATTTAAAAATGGGTAAAGGACTTCAATAGACACTTCTCAAAAGAAGACATTTAGATGGCAAATAGGCATATGAAAAATTCTCAATGTCACTAATCATCAGACAGATGTAAATTAAAACTATAATGAGGTATCTCCTCACACCTGCCAGAATGGCTACCATCAACAAATAATAGATGCTGGTGAGGATAGAGAAATGGGAACACTAGTACACTACTGGTGGGAATGCACATGGGTACAGCCACTGTGGAAAACAGTATGGAGATTTCATCAGAAAATTAAAAGTGGAACTGCTGTTTGACCCAGTGATCCCACTTATGGTATCCTAAGAATCCCAAAACACCAATCAGAAAGAATATATGTACTCCTATGTTCACAGCAGCATTGTTTATAATAGCCAAGATTTGGAAACAGCCCAAGTACCCATCAGTAGATGAGTGGATAACAAAGCTGTGGTACATTTACAAAATGGAATATTATGCAGCTGTATAAAAGGAGCTCTTACCCTTTGCAACAGCATGGATAGACCTAGAGATTATTATGCTAACAGAAATAAGCCAGTTAGAGAAAGACAGATATCACATGATCTCATTTATAAGTGGAATGTAATGAACAAAATAAACTGACAAAATAGGTCCATAGGCCTGGATGCATAGAACAGAGTGACAGATCTTAGAGGCGAGGAAGGATGAGGGGACAGGAAGAGATTAACCAAAGAACATATATGCAAAACCCATGGAAACAGACAACAGTGTGGGAAAGGCCTGGGGGGGTGGGAGGGTATGCTGGGTGGAGAGAGGGCAAATGGGGGACATCTGTGATACTATCAACAATAATAATCATAATAAATAAGCAAATGTCCACAAAAAAATAATAATCTAAAAAGGTCTTATTTTATGACCAAGAATAATTTTTCTATGAGATTATTTGTGATCAAAAGAGGGAGGCTACAGGGGGGAAAGATCAGTTTCAATGGAAAACTATAAGCTGCTGGCAATTCTTTGTAAACTGTAGGTACTTGATAGACACGTAAATAACATTCTGAGAATTATTTAAATTGACTGACTTCCACCCCCACATACACACACCTCCCCTACAGCAAAACTATTTTTATCTCCATTTGCAACTGTCTCAACATTCCTTTACTGTATATAAATTGGTATGCTTTGACTTTTCCGTTGAACTATTTAACTACATACCTAGTTAGTCATATTACAAGAGTAAAATAAATTCCTTAATATTTGTTCACTGGAATAATGATTTACCTCTTCCTGAAAATACCTTTTTTTTTTTCTGGTTGGTTTTTCTGTTTCTGTTTTTGTTTTCCTGTGGTAAAACACACATAATATAAAACTTACCACTTCAACCATTTCAAAGTGTACATTTAGTATACTTACAAGGCGGGGTAACCATCACTATCTAGTTCTAGAACATTTTCATCATCTTTAAATGAAACCCCATTCCCATTAACAGTCACCTCCATTCCCCTCTCCCAAGCCCCCACTTTGTGTCTCTATGTTTCATATAAATGCAACCATACAAAACGTGGCCTTCTGTGTTTGGCTTCCTTCTCTTAAGCACGCTTACAGGGTTCACTGATGCTTGTATGAGCATGAATCGGCCCTTCATTCCTTTTTACGCCTGAATAATATTATATTGTATGAATTCACCACATTTTGCTTACCCACTCATCCACTGACAGACATCTGGGTTGTTTGCACCTTTCAGTTTTTGTGACTAGTGCTGTAATGAACATTCATGTACAAGTTTTGCTTGAACACCTGCTTTCGAGGCAGGATAGTCAGAAGCTAGAAAAATTCCTTGCCAAGTGGAATGGGGAAACTGAGACAGCTGAACAAACTGACTGAGCAATTTATAGTTAGATACAGAACGTTACCAGGTCGGAAAGCCCCAAGGGCTAGCGACAGGCAATACTGATGCTGAACCTCGCCCCCAGGGTAGCCTTTCCTCCCCTGGCATATCTCTGGTCATGTAGTTTAGAACCCCTGGCCTTTTGTATCACTGGTCATATAGTCTGGACCCTCTCCTGACCTTTCCTCTCTAGAGGTAATATCTAGGCCTCAGCTCCAGGACCAGCTGCAGTAACTAATGACCCCCTGCCCTGGCACCAACCAATCAATGAAAAACACAATCCTGAAAGGACACACCTGGAAAAGTTGATGACTCTTCTGAGATCTTCCCAAGACCTCAGATAAAACTCTCCCCAACCCTGTCTCCTGTACCTTCCCTTGCCCCTTTCTTTCCTCAAGCTCATCCCTTTGCTTTCTTTCTCCAAAGCTCCAAGCCCCACCCCCTTTTTATGCCTCTGAAATTGCTTCCTGAGTCCAAGCAGCCTAGCTGCCTCACTTCTTCCAAAGCTCACTTCTACCTCTGTGAATTTCTAAATTAACTTTTGCTTGTATTTGGGTTCCTTGGCTCTAAATTCTTAGCCAAGAATTGAGGTCTAACATCTGGTGCTATTCACAGTTAACAAGACCATAACAGCTAACCACTTGCCAATCATCTATAATCTCTAGATTTCATTTTGTCCTTTATAAATTAGCGGGCTAGGAGGGGTAAGAGAAGAGAAGTTAACAGATATCACCTCTTTGACTCCTCTGAGTTCTCAAATGTAGTAATTCAATGTGGAGCATATGTTGCCCTGTTTAGTTCCACTCCACACTACACATATTGTGATTTCAAACTTACCCCTGAAGTTATTAATAATTGGGTTTATAGTTCCCCAAACTCTTCTAACATAAACTAATACATTAAATGCTTTTTAAAATGTGACATGTAACAAGGTATGATTAATCTTCGTAGTAACATATTGATGAACACAATCTTTTTAAAATGTGCTTTCCATTATATAATTTTTTTTCATTTTCTCAATATAAAATAAAGTTGTGCTGAAAAAATAAGTCTTTGTGTTCACTGTTAACATTTTTTAAACTTTAATCATACAATAAGTAAAATGAACAGATTCTAATTTCTGCCATTTAAAAACTCTTAATATATCCAATAAATACATAAACCCTTAAAGTAGTTGAAAATTATTATCAGCCTTGGCAGGTCTTGCTCAGTGGTTAGAGCGTCGGCCCTCGGACCAAAGAGTCTTGGGTTTGATTCTGGTGAAGGGCACATACCTCAGTTGCGGTTTGGTCCCTGGCCCTGGTCAGGGTCACGTGGGAGCAACAAATCGATGTGTCTCTCTCACATCGATGTTTCTCTATCTTTCTTTCTCTTTCTCCCCCTCCCACTCTATCTGAAGATGAATGGCAAAATATCCTTGGGTGAGGATTTAAAAAAAACGTATTATCAATACTAATCAAAATATATTTGTTATAAAAGTATTATAGAAATTGTAACACTTTCTCCTGTAGTGTAAGTAACCTTTGTAAAAAGGCTATTCCATTTTTTTAGTATAGAATGAACTCATTCAGGGAACACATTTATTGGCCACCTACTACATGACAGGTATTGTTCCAGGCCCTGGAGAAAGATGGAGTGAACAAAGCAAAGGTGGCTTCTCTTGTAGAGCTTAAGAAAACAGTGCAGAAGGAGACTGTCAAACTTCCATCGTCTCAAAGCTCAGAATGTATGTGTTCAAGAAATGTTTGTTTACTTAAGAAACTATAAGTGATAGTTCATGATGAAATATATATGTGTATCCAATATAGCCCAAATCCCTTGAGGCTCTGATATTTTTCACCTTTACTATTTTTGTCCATATAGCTCAAGAGCATCTCAGAGTCTCACAAAGTTAACAGCGACAGCATCTATACAACATAAAACAGATATGCAAATAGCAACATTAGAATATCTCAGCCAAATGAAATTACATGTCTAACTTAGATACACACACACACACACACACACACACGGTAAATAATACCAACAAACAGAACAAAGACCCTTTGTTACTGTTCCATCATTTATATATTTTCCATCCTATGAGAAGCCAAAAGATTTTCCCAGAATAAATGCTCCAAGAGGAACTTGAACCAAGAACGAAAGGCCCATACTACTACTAGACTCTGCCTCCAAGAAGCCCAGTCCCACGCCTATCACTTTTTCCTAAGTGCTTCGATCTGTTTCCCCTTCTTCCACACTCACTCTGAGTATCTCACGCTTGTGTTCTGTTAGTAATTAATTTTTCAGCCATTCTAAATTATTTGTTCTGCAAATCAGTTTTTTGTCTCCCTTGGCCGTATTTTTCCTTTTTCACCTCATTCTGCTATTTTTATTATATCATTTCTGAGCCTGTGTTTTATGAAACTCGGGTTCTTAATGGCTCACTACTTGGGAATTCTCCTCTTTTCTGCAAGGCAATAATTCTCTTTCAGAACAGACTCTGCACGCTTCTTCGGCACGCACCATGTTCCTCTCCACCTGCCCTGAGTGCAGAAGCCGCGCCACGTCTTCTCCATTGGCTCAGGCTACAGGGACGGTCTGTGGAGTGTCTTTGTGGGTCACTGTGTAGTCTAGGGGAACCCTTCCACTTCCAGCTACTTTCTGAGCTAGTGCTGCACTCCAGCAGCTCTGTGCCCTTGCGTTGAGGAGGGGGAGGTTTGCGGAATGTGAAAAAGGAAACAGGGAATCAGCTCAGCAGGGGCAAGGGCTACAAGAAGCCTAACTCTGCTCTTCTCCTGAGATACATCCTTTTCCTCTCCAACTGTCTTTAATTCCCTGAATCCTTGTGAGGTTTTATTTCCATCAGAAAGAGTCAGTCCAAGGTGTTCTCTTCCTCCTTTGCAGTCAGTTTCTTTTTTTTTTTTTTTTATCCTCACCCGAGGACATTTTTCGATATTTTGTTCAGATAGAGTGAGAGTGAGAGAGAGAGAGAGAGAGAAACATCGACGTGAAAGCGACACATCGAGTGGTTGCCACCCACACGACCCAACCAGGGTCGGGGACAAACTGCAACCAAGGTACGTGCCCTTAGCGGGAACCGAACCCGGGTCTCTCCGAACCGCAGGCCAACGCTCTAACCGCTGAGCCAAACCGGCCAGGGCTGCAGTCAGTTTCTTTTCCTCCCAATCCCGACTATTCTATTCACTTTCTACCTCCATCTACCCTGTAAGTGATTAGAGTCCAGTCACCTGCAACTCACCATGTGCTCCTCCTCCTACTTACTGTTCAAGGATGAAAAAAGCAGCAAAACCAGGTGGGTGATGCCAGGACCAGCTGCAATGACTAAGGACCCCCTGCCCTGGCACTGACCAATCAGTGGAGACCAAAACCCTGAAAGAGCACTCCTGAAAAACTGATGAATATGCTGCTGAAACCCTCCCCTGAGACCTCCCCTAAGACTCCCCACCTGTAAGAGAGAGATAAAAGCCTCAAGACAAAGGACCCAGCATGCTCTCCCTCAGGGGAGCACACCCATGCCATCCCCACCTCCTTCTCCTCCCCCTTCCCCACACACTACAGGCCCGCTGCAGACCCACTCAGGGCTAGACTCCCTGTCCAGTAACACTTTCTGGCACCCAGAGAGATTTGAGTTATCAATGTTCCCTTATATCAGGTATTCTGCTAACTCCCAATTTACTGATGAAATAATCAACTCTAGGGTTTATCACTAGACTACCTTTCTTATCTACTTTTTTACCAGCCTGGACATACCAAAATAGTGTGTTTTTCTTTGTCACTTGAGAAACATTCAGGGAAGGGCTTCCAGTCACCTGGAATCCCCAGTATTCCGGCAGGACTACATACACCATTTTTTATTTTGTTCCCTATCCTTTTCTCTTACATAGCCTCTGCATAGTGTGGGGTTGAGAATGATTCTGGGCCAAACACTCTGAATTCTTGGAAATTTTCATTTCTCCAAATGACCATCAGCTGTTTTCTTTAAATTTACTGTTGGCATATTTCTGACCATTTTTATCCATTTAGCTGTTCATATCATTAAGTCTAAAAGGATGGATATTTGAAATCTGGCTTCATTCTGCCATCTTAAAACAGAAATCACACTATTTAAAAAAATACACCCTGATATGACCACATAAAAAATAGTGACTTTTTGTCAAAATACTAGCATTATACCAGAATGACTACGGTGGATGTTGTTGGTTGTTCTACCTCCTCCTCAACGGCACACAGATTCTCTTCAGTACTCCCCTCTGCCCAGAGTTACCTTGTATGTCAGGATGCTGGCCTCACCCTCTGACCCTGGAGTAAGTCGACTATCAAAAGCTCACTTTTGGCTCAGTGAGGTCTGCTGGAGGCATATGGAAAATACCTTCTCACCCTTCGAGCAAGTGACATTCTTCTCTTCCTCCCCTCCTCCATGCATAAGGCATGTGCAGCCCTGAATGCTAGTGACAATGACCTACGACATCAGGTGAAACCTGCCTTGAGATAAAGCAAACCTCATGAATGGTCGAGCAGACAGACAGAAAGAACCTGGGTCCTCCAGTATGTCTCACTTTTTAAAAGTATGTTTTTATTGACTTTAGAGAGAAAGGAAGGGAGAGGAAAAGAGAGAGAGAAACATTGATGTGAGAGAGAAACATCAATTGGTTGCCTTCTGCACGTACCCCAACTGGGGATCAAACCCACGACCTGGGTATGTGCCCTAACAGGGACTCGAACCAGCAGCCTTGAATGACAGTCAAGCACCTGACCCGCACCAGCCAGGGCACACCTCTCCCTCGTACGGACAGCCCTTTACCTGAGCAAGTAAAGCCCTCCGGTGTCTGGCATATCGGGTCGGCAGCCCTGTCACTTGCAGCTGACAGCACCCTACAAATGGCATCTGGGCTATCTATAATACTAAGTCCTCCTAGGTGAGCATGTGTATTTTTAAAATTAATATAGAACTTCAAACTGATTATTATTAAGAATCAAGTGTGCCTGGGTGCTAAAAAAAAAAAAAAAATCAATGATTCTCAGAATTACCAGAGGCTTAAAGACCGTCTAGTCCAACCCAGCCCAGAGCCTATGTTTTGTAGAACAGTACAGCTACAGTTGTTTCTCCTCAACACTCCCAGCAACAGAGAGCTCTCCAGCCACCTTCCGAGGCAGCCAGCTCCATCACTCTGCTGAAAAATGTATCCTTATTACCGTCAGGTTCATTCTTTGACCTGAGGTGTCTATGGAGACACTCGATTTAAGAGCAAATTAAAAGGAGCAAAAGCAGTCTGGCACAAAGGTGGCAGCAGCAGCAGAGCAATGGCATGAACAAGGTACACCATGCACACCAACTTTCCCTTGAGCATCAGTCAGTTAGCAGCAGAACTGTGACTCCACTGGCATTTAACCAGGTCATTAAGACTCTTTTATGGACTATACACATGCACAGATCTACCCTGTGTTTTAAGCCCTCCTCTGCTCCCCACTCTGAGAATGATAAGAAGAATATATGTAAAACGAGAACCTCTTCTATATGAAGTACTTGTAATTATTGTGAGAAACTAACATGATACAAAGGAAGCTTTTGGAACAGAGTGCCACTCACATTTTCCTGAATTCCCCATGTCCTCCTCAGCAGACTGAAGTCTGGGTGAACACATCATAAATATATAACAAAAACAAGGGTTCTCAACATTTTTTTCATAACAAACCATCAAAGAAGCATAAGAGATTGCTGGGTAATACGTTAATCCTAAATGATAAACTAATGCTCTGATTTTAAGATAATCATCACCTTATTCATCAATCAGTTGTTTTTTATATATAGTTATATGCTGTTTAACACTGGGGATATGTTGTATTATAAATTATAACTGAAATTTCCTGTTATTTGTTTTTTTCTTATTGTCTCTCAACTACTGTCATGTATACCTTGACTTGCATCCTCTTATCAAGTATTTCTGTGCTCTGGGTTTATTTTTTATTTTTTTATTTTTTTATCCTCACCCGAGGATATTTTTTCCATTTTTTGTACAGATAGAATGGGAGGGAGAGAGAGGAAGGGAGAGAGAGTGAGAAACATCGACGTGAAGGGACACATCGAGTGGCTGCCACCCGCACGACCAACCAGGGCCGGGGACAAACTGCAACCAAGGTACATGCCCTTAGCGGGAACCGAACCTGGGTCTCTCCGGACCGCAGGCCGACGCTCTAACCGCTGAGCCAAACCGGCCAGGGCTGTGCTCTGGGTTTAAAATTCCCTCATACAGAACCATTTTTGAAGACCTTAAAACCTACGTATGTACTGGTAAAGTTGTTTCTTCAAAGAATAGCCTCCTTGGAAACTGATATAACAAGTGATAGACTCACACCATATTCCAGGTGTCTCATAAAGAATCTGTTTCCTTTTGGGTGTCTGAAGTGAAAGACCTGATTATATAGGGTCAGGTTTACTTATGAATTCTGAAATAGGGTAAGAAAATGGTCAGGCAAATCCTTCCAACGTTCATAATTATTGTGCATCCAAGCTGAACTACTCCACAATACCATATAAAATGCAGAAAAAAGGAGCCCAAACAAGAGAGAATGCAGAGCCCTGCTTGCCAGCAGTCCATGCCCATTCACGCCAGCAGTCCATGCCCATTCACGGATTTCCTCTGCCGGTGCCACTGCTCTCAAGACCCTGACCTGATGAACTCTTGTTTCCCAAGTGTTGCCCCATACTCTGGACAAGATATCTGGTTTGTTATGACCTTTACTATATGTTTGTTTGGGCCTTTCAGGAGAATAGTACTTTCTCAGCTATTAACTGATTGCCCAAAGAAGCACCTTGTGGGAACTTATCAAATTTTTTCATGTTATCTCTATAATGACAGTCCTGGTTTGGCCTGCTGATCCCAGCTTAGTGGCAAACCACACCCTCAAACACTGGTATAGTTTATTACCTAGAGCCTTCTTCTCACTTACATACCACATTCAAGAGCATTTCCAAAGCTACCAGGCTCATATCATTGCTCTAGACCAGAATCTTTCTAATTAAGTGTGCACTACACACTAATTAAAACAACTTAAAACCACTGTACTTGTCAGAGGACCTGGGGATCCTGCCAGTTTTATAACAGGACCATTGAGGATCCCAAAGCTACAGAAGCTCTAACAGATATGCTGTCAGGGAGTTTGCACGAGAATATCTTTGCCAGATTTTTCCAATTGCACCTTGTATTTTGTGGCCTGCTCTTAAAATGAAAATATAAATAGCTGAGTAAGAATTATTATTATCATTTACAAAAGATTATGTTTTCATTTAAATATAGATAGCATCGTCCTATATGCTACAAGGGACTTCTGATGAATAAAATATCATCCCTACTGCTAAGGAACTCATACTCTATTATGGGATATAAACAAGTAAACCAGTAACAGGTAACAACTATATGGTAGAATTAAATAAATTCCACATCAGAGACATAGATGTTAGTTTCTCTGTCTTTCACATATCCATCCACTACTACCCTCCCATGGAAGAAGAGAATGGAGAGGAAGAATGGATTCCCTAATGGACATTTAAGTTAGAAAGCTAATTTATAAATACCTAAGGTGGACCCACTTAAATACAGGAAAACAATATTCTTGAATATTTAAGCAATCTTGAATACCTGACATAGATTATAATTAATCTAAATTGTAATCAGATTAAGTTCCTTCAATGCTAGAAAAATCAATGCTGAAGTAGTGCTGACCAGGATAGAAAGCATGAATGAAGATATGAGTGGTCTGGCGAAAGCAGAATCAGAGTTAAGACACAGAATGGGACTAAAGTCTAAAATTGGCGTCAAGTAGGAATTCTGCCCCAGCCAGTCACTAGGTTTCAGGGGAAACTCAATTATGTGCTTTTGTTATGTTCTAAATACTTATCTAGGCTATGAATTCCATTCCACCACATGACAGGATGTAAAGCAAATAAATACCAAGGTGAGATTACCAAAATCTACTGCAATCACTATCCTGCTAAAACAAATCAGTCTGGTGGCAAGAACATAATTTCATTTTTTATTACTAGGATTTAAAATACAAAATACTTCATAAGGATTAAATATAACTGGAATAAATATTTCACAAAATGAGACAATAAAAAGAGGTATTACCTTACTTTGTTGAATGATATACATATTATATGAAAGAAATCAAGAAATATTTTTATCCTCATATTTTACCTGGAATATCTTGAAAAACTGTATAGTCCAGGAAAATATATTCGAGTCATATTTAAAACATCTGTCTTGCCCTGGTCAGTTTGGCTCAGCGGTTAGAGCATCAGCCCGCGAACCAGAGAGACCTAGGTTCGGTTCCCGCTAAGGGTACGTTACCTTGGTTGCTGTTTGTCCCCAGCCCCGGTTGGGGTTGTGTGGGTGGCAACCAGTCGATGTGTCTCTCTCACATTAATGTTTCTCTCTCTCTCTTCCCCCCTCTCTCCCTCCCACTCTATCTGAAGATAAATGCAAAAAAAAAAAAAAAAGTCCTCGGGTGAGGATAAAAAAAGAATAAAATATCTGTCTTTACTAACGAGTACTGCTTCAGCTATTTAAAGGTGCTTTACTTTATGGCTAATAACCCATCCTAGCACCTGAGAACTGAGAATAGTTGAAAAATTACGTTACATTTTAAAGCCAAATTATGTTACATTTTATTTATTTATTTATTTATTTATTTATTTATTATTATTGTTGTTGTTGTTAATCCTCACTCGAGGATATTTTTCCATTATTTTATTTTATTTATTTTTTTTAGATAGGGTGCAAGGGAGGAAGGGAGAGAGAAACATTGATGTGAGAAAAACACAATGATTGGCGGCCTCCTGCAAGACCCTGACCAGGGCCAGGGATCAAACCTGAAACCCAGGTACATGCCCTTGACTAGGAATCAAATCCACGACTCTTTGGTCCACAGGCCAACACTCTAACCACTGGGCCAAATCAGCCAGCGCAAATTATGTTACATTTTAAAGCCACTTAAAATTTACTTTGCTTTGCTCTTAAAGGTTTCTCCCTCAAAGGCGCTTCATTAAAGAATAATAGCTGAAGGATGAAAGAGGTAAAGTCACTTTTATCAATCTGCATATAATATGTCTGAATTTAGAATGTGCAATTACATCCAACATGCCCCAGTTATGAAGCTTCAGAAATAGTTTGTCTGACAGAAAAAAACAAAACTGCCTAGACAAGTATATAGTGACTTGATTATTTATTAAAAGATTGCCCAAAACCAGTAATTCCAATTGCCCCTTTGTTTAATGACGTAAGATTTTTATTCCTAGTACATACAAAGGGGTATGTCTTTCTTTTTCAGCGTAGAAGAGTTTTCGGCTCATATGCGTGCAAAGGGAGGCATCTGAAAACAGACCCCAGTAAATCCACTCAAGCTCTGTACCCTTTGAAAAGTTTGCCCACATCTCTCAGACATAGTTATGCCAGTCTGAAAACTATTCTTTAACATATCATAGAAGAAAGGTAAATGAAAGATTGAGCCACTCATTTCAGAACACCTAAAATACAAATATTTGAAAGCTCAACTTGCAAAACCCTAAAGAAAGGAAGAAAATTTCCTAAAATGCAACATAGAGAAAACCTAATCTAGTTACAACTTTCATTTTGAATACTCTGGTAATGTGATGGGTAAGGAATATCATCAATAATCAACAACCACCTTTTAAAAACAAAACTCTTTATGTCAAAAACTGAGCATAAACATCAACCAATACTGTATAATCATAAAATATTAAAAATTTAGACTCAGACTTTAAAATGTGGGAATACCTAGGAAGCATCTCATTAGATAACTCAATGGTTTACTGTTTATTACATTTTACTGCAGTTCATCTCACATCTCACAACAGCATCTTCTTTTATCTCCCAAAACTTTTCATTACGAAATTTTTAATCTACAGAGGAACTGAAAAAAATAGTATAATGGATACACTATATCCTTCACCTAGATGCATCAACCAATACAAAATTTGCCACATTTGCTTTCTCTTACACACAAACACACACACACATTTTTCCTTGTTATTTTTATTTTTCTGAATAAACCATTTGAAAATAAGTTGCAGATATTATGCATATTACCTCTAAATATTTCTGTATACATTTTCTACTAATGACATTCCTCCATATAACCACTGTACCATTTTATATCTAAAAAAATTAACTATAATTATATAATTATACTTTATAGACAATATTCAAATTTCCCAGTTCTCTCAAAATAGCTGCTATTTTTCCTAGCAGGTTCCATCAAAGTTTATATACTACATTTGGTTGTTATGCCTCTTGGTCCTCCTAGATTTAAAATAGTCTTTTCAGCCTGGCCAATGTGGCTCAGTGTATTGAGTGTCATCCCATGGAGTGAGAGATCTCAGTTTGATTCCTGGTCAGGGCACAGGCCAGGGTTACAGGTTCGATCCCTAGTAGGGGGTGCTAGGGAGGCAGCCAATAGATGTATCTCTCTCACGTCGATGTTTATATCTCTCTCCCTTACTCTTTCTAAAAAATATAATAATAATAATGTCAATAAAAATATTTATTTATTAATTTGTTTTTGTTACAAATGTTTCTCATTTTTCCTCCATTGACA